GATTTTTGTAAGTGTCATCTGGTAGAAAAACATGAGAGTCTGTAGCTTCAAAGTGCCATACCACAGCAGCTACCACTGTATAAAGGTTTAGTTACCCAGTCTATCCTAAACCTTAGCCCATCTCAGCTGTAGTGATTGGTAGTGTTCAGGGGTTAAGTGTGCATACTTTTGGATGGTGAGTAATATCTGCTAGGATTGTTAATTCTAAAAGACAAATAAAACTTTTCACGTATGAAATGGGACTTTTTGTTGCTAAGATATAAGATATAGTGTCTTTTCTTTTGAGAGCTTTGTATATGAGCACTCTCTCTGTATCACTCCCAGCCCTCCCTTTCCTCTCAAACTCCTCCTGTTCCCTACACCATTCATGGTCTCTCTTTTGACTGTTATCATTACATGTGTGTATGCACATGCATCACTGTATATATAGCCTCCTGAATCCATTTAATGTTGCTCATATATACCTGTGCCTAGGGTTAACCACTTGAGATTCATGGGAGCTCATCCCTGGAGGACACTACTCTTCTCTTAGCAGCCATTGACTACTTACAGCTCTTCATCTAGGCATGGGACCATGCAGGGTTTCTGCTGTTCACATTGGCATCTCAATTAGAGTTTTCAGTATGCTGCTCTTGTTCAGGCAGCCCTATTGTTGAGATTTGTTGGATGTATTTGCCCTTTCATGCCTAAGGGGCATCTGGCAACTGGTGTCCTGGCCTCTGTAGGGTTACATTGCAGATAAAACAGTTGAGGTCGGATAACCCACAGTCCTGTATTCTATTCCGTTTGACCAGTGATGGATCTCTCGTAATAATCTCCATAATTTGCACAAAGAGCTTCTTGGATGAGGGATGAGAGATACAATTATCTATCGTTATTAAGGCTAGTATTTGGAATAGTGTTAAAAGTTACACTGGTTTAGAATAATGGTAGAAGTAGGTGTTCCTTCAGGTGTTTGACTTTTCAATCCATGAATAGTTGACGGGGTTTCTGGTACCACGCACAAATTTCCTCCTATTGAGCAATTCCTCAGTACAATGAGACAGCTGTTGCTTTTCCACTCCCAAAATAAAAAGTGCCAGTTTTGTATCATTGAGGCTATCTTGCCAGTCCAGTCATTGTGGTTCCTAAGTTTTTTAACTGGGTAGGACAACCAATTACTCTTTTTTCCTTTGACAGATTGCGTAGCACCTTCCAATACAATGAGAACCTGTTCTCAGAGAAGAGTTGTCTAGGTTAGTTCTAGATGGATTCCTCTAAGTCCTATGTTCAAAGTGTATCGTATTTTCAGCATAGGCTCTTGAAGTTCAAGAAGACAGCAAAGGTGATGGTAATATCCCATGTTGTTTTGGAAGATTATCGTATTCCGCCTGCCAACAACTTGAGGGAAGGTTTCCTTGATTGATACTGGAGGCTTTGTATGGCTTTTGTGTGGTGCTTTATCACCACTGTGCTAAAACTCCATTAAAATATATATGTAGGTACATAGACATATGCATGAGAAGTATCATTTTAGGACTTAATCATCTCACTTTCACTTAATTGCATTTGTGAGACCCATCAGTTTGTATGACATCATACAAATGCCAATGTGTTGACATTGGCCCTTTCTAGAGAAGGGTTTAGGTAAAGAGAGACAACATTCTTGGCAGAATCCTTGAAGATCTACATCCCTTACAAGGACAAAAATGTGTGTGCTTAAGCTGACAAAATAGACAGCAGAATGACTCAGCTGCCCAGGCCTGAAACTAGACCAGACCTTTTCCAGAAACTAGATCCATCTAATCTTTTGTCTCACTGCATCATGCCAGTAACAGTTTGATGCTCAGAGAAGCTTTTCAAATGCTTGGCTTGAGGTAGTAGCAAGATTTTGTGGTGTTAAACAAAAGTGTAGATTCATATCATGGTTTTAATAAAGAACACTGCAGTGAGGGTACAATGAAGGCATTCTTATAGTCTAGCCATTGGTTAATTAGTGACTTGGCATTTGAGTCATTTCTAACTAATGTGCATCTAGAATTGGTAATTATATAGAATAACTATTATTACATAGTACTTTAAATGCATTCTCACTTCAAATATTCCAACACTGCAGAAATGAGTAGAATAAAGGTCGAGTCATCATCTCCCTTTCTTCCTACCTTGTGTTAGTGGAAACAATCACCACCATAGTGAGACACTCGTTTTTTTTTCCAGCCCTATTTGGCTCCTTGGAGTGAGCTACAGTTACAGTTCAATCAGGGATTCTTCTTTTGAAATGACATAGTGTTCTTACTCTTTCTTCTCAACAGTCCGTGACATTAAGAACATCCATCTTGTATTTTGCTTTTTGGGCTCCAGTACTACGTCTTCTTTGGCTCTGCCTCCCATCTTTGAATGATGACTTTCCTGCTTCATTTCGAGTTGTTTGTTCATCACATCTTGAACTGTTTGTTGTCTCAGTCTCACTGCATAGTCTTATCAGTTTTGAGAACTTTGCTGCCTCCATTGCGGAGCCGTCTTCTCTATCCTCCTCCAGTTCTCCTGAGTGCACTACCCTTACATGCACCCGGCCGTCTTTGCATCTGTGACTCATTGTCTCAGCACCTTCACTTTCCTGTCTGACACTGACGCTGACTTCTCATTCCCAAGGCGTTGTTGCTTATGGTGTCTTGTTTCACACTTGAGTAAGTTAGAGCCTTAGCCACCAGTATTGATTCTTCTTTCTACCTGACTGTCAGTTTGGAGGAACTGTCAGATCTGAAATATGCAGATTTTTGGGTCATCCAGTACTCTCCATATGTTTGCATCTGTATTATTACAACTCTCTAATTTCCAGCCTCCTGTTCCTCTATGAATAGAGATTATTATTACTATTTTTTTGTAACCAGAAATGCCTTTTCTGACAAATGAGGATAGTGATGTTAGCCCAACCCTGTGTCCTTCCTCAGTGCTACAGAAGGACTTTTATCTAGCAAGGAGTTGACCATGTTTCCTTGTCTGCTGTTTTGTTAAACTTTTCATGTTTTTGTATTTGCGTGAATATTTTAAATGGAATGTTAGAAAGTAAGGCATGCTTTATTAATTTCTTTAGTCATAGTTTGATTCCACAGCCCAGTTGAAGTTGAGGGACATCTATATTTATTCACTGATGGCCAGACAAGGCAGACCCAAAGAATGTATGGTATCTACTTGGAGCCTGGTCTTCCTTATTCAGGGAGGATTAATTTCAGACTTATTTTTCTACCCTTGTAACTTTCTATGCCTTTTGATTTTGTTGTTGTAATAGATTGCTCAGTCATTAAAGAGCTTACTGTCAAATGTGAGTTTGGATCCCAAACATCCATGTAAGAGCTGGGCCTGGTGGTATACACCTGTGATTCTAGCATGAGCCAGGTAGAAACAGAAGGTTCCTCTAAGTTTTTTGGCCAGCTAATCTGTCTTAATCAGTGAGCTCTTGGTTCATTAAGGAAACTTCTTCAAAATGTAAGAGTGCAGAAGAGGAAGACAGCTGACATTGGCTTCTAACCTCCATATACACATCATAATTGTGTATGTGGTACCCTTCCTCCTACATGCTCATGCTTGCATTCATGTGTGTGCACATGCACGCATGCACACACACACACACACACACACACACACACACACACACACACACACGTTCAGTTGATGTATGCCCCATCCATTTAGTATGTTTATAGAGTTTTACAGCAAAACCCCAGGTATAGAACACCTTTTAACCTGGAAAGAAAATCAGAACTTTTCACTGTTACTTCCCAGCCTACCTTTCACTGGCTCCCAGCACTGCTCAACCACTAACTACCATGTTTCTATTGATTTGTCTATTCTGGATGAAAAATAAATGGAATCATACAAGCATGTTCTTTTGTGATTGCCTTTCTTCATGTAGAAGAAAGTTGTTTTCAAGGTGTACCCATTTTGTGTCATGCTGTATTTGACTTGCTTATGCTGACATTTCATATTGGATTGCTTTGATAGGTCTCATTTTATTTACCCATTTGTTACTTGATAGGCTTCTTGGTTTCTCAGGACTGTTGTAAATGTGCTGCTTTGACTATACCTCTGTGACTTTATCCTGGATTTCGTTTATCTATTATACTTGGTAGAATGCCTGGGTTATATGATAACTCTGCTCACTCCTTTCTGCAACTGTGATAGTTTTCCAAGGCAGAGATGTGGATCACATACTCTTTCACCAACAGACTTTCAGAGTTTCAATGTCTGCACATACACACTAGTAGTAGTCTCTTCCGTCACTGAGGGAAGGTTTTACCTTACCATCAGACACTTCCCATGGCTCACTTCTGCCTATAGTAAAGGCTGTGTTGAAAGTCAACTGGGCTTGGCTGGCGTATCTTGGAAATTATCAACACTTACAGAGTTTTTTTGTATTGAAGGTAGAAAAATATATATTTCTTTCACATTTTGCCTGAAATATCTGGATATTGGAGTCTTTGCAAAAGATTTTCATGGGCTAACTTGATTATGTGCAGCTATTGGTGTTAATCTTCCAGCCTGTAATCTTTAAATCTCTGAGATTTGTAGGATATATGGCACTGTACATTTCTAACTCTTGTAATGATGACTATATTTATTCATTCACATTCTCCCATCTCTAAATTCAAGGAGTTCTATTCTGAGGTGTTTTTTAAACTTTTAAATGGCTTTTCTAAGTTGGCTTATGTAACAAGGTAAGGAACTAACAACCTCCCATGTCATGGTTGGCCAAGTGCTATGGTAATGTTGTCTTTCTAAAGATAACAAATTGCATTGGGTATTTTATAAAAATATTTGACTTTCATAGCTTAATTCCTGAAATAACATTTAAGTGTTATAAACCTTTAAGCAAATTAAAGGTTCAAATTGTGCTCTAATTTGTCTTTATTTGTTGGGATTATTGCGATGTTACTTTGTTAGACTCCTCGATAGGCTGTTGTCTTGTGGACTTTGGTTTTGCTTTTGAATAAGTAGCTATCAATGTCTTTTTTTATTTTTAGACCAAGCTTCAGTGGCTCTGTGAGGAACTGAAAGAGAGAGAAACCAGAGAGAAGAGCGTGCGGCAGCAGCTGGTGCTCTGCAGACAGGAGCTCAGGGAGCTGACGGAGCACAAGGAATCTGAGCTCCTGTGTCTGTTTGAGCACATAGAGAGGCAGGAGCAGCTTCTGGAGGAGTTCCACCATGAGAAGAGAGGTGGGTCCACATGCTCCCTCTCCTCCTCCTCTGCCTTCATGGAACCACAGGGATGGAAAAAGCCTACTGGTACATCTCTTAGGACTTTTCCAAATTGTGCTCTTGCCTTGCCTCTTGCCTTCTCAAATTCTTTATTTCTGAGACTAGTAGAGCAAGCTGTTGAGTCTTGATAAATTTCCTGTTCCACAGTGTCCTCTTTTGTTCTTTCAATATATATCTATAGGGCAGGTGTAAGAATTGATGTGGTAAGGCTCTCTCTTCTCCCCTGATAAAAAGATTGAAGTAAAACATTCATTCATTCAATGAAATGCTTGTTTCGTATTAAGAAATCTCTCCTTGTTGTGTGAGAACATACCAATGAATAAACCAAAGGTAAAGGCCCTTTATTCAGGTTATGTTGTACTGGATGGAGTGGCATTAAATGAATATAAGTAGATGCACACATATTAGGCGGTATACACTCACCAGGGAAAATACTGGGCTAAGAAAGGCAGAGTTTGGAAGAGTGATGGGAGAGTCAAACATTACACAAATGATTTAGAATAGTACATGTACAGTAGTATTCATCATAACAGGAAAAAGAAAAATGATGCCTAAAACCCTGTGAAGTCAAGTTCTGCTGTCCTTAAGCCATTGGTTTATTGCCTTATTATGGACTTTATTAAGAATCACAAGAAGCTTATTGTAGTATCCCCCTAAGAAAACCCAAAACTTAGTATTTGACAATCCTTGTTCAAGCATTCCCTTTCAAAGTAACTTCTTTTTCCATTTTTATATGTATGGAAAGATTAAGTGTTAGATGGAAAATCATCCAGGCTGCGTTCAGAGGAGTGTTGCTTCAGGCCAGTTGAGTATTGTTAGCTGTGGCTACAGGATATGTCAAAGGATGCTTTTGTATTTTTTTTAATGGCAGTACAACAATGACAGTATAATTCTACAGCTTGCTATAGATTACAAATCAGCTTTATTGTCAGTAAATCGTATTTGACCTTGTCATTTCTTTGTATTAGTATTAATGTGGCATGCAAAATCCAAAGAAGAAAATACTTATACACATAGCTTGAAAAGGAAAACTACTACTGAGATTTGAAGAAAGGGCGTTATCTTGTAGCTTTTGAGAAAGTAAGACCTTTGTAACAGAGAATAATTTCTCAGTTTGTTTTTAGTCAATGTCTGTTAACCAAGAATCGAAGCGTCAGGCAATAGAGGGAACAAACACCATCTACTTCCGTTTTATGTTCAGCTCAATGACTGAGAGCTTTGTCTTAGCATAGTAGCTGCAGCTGGGGCAAGTACCTAGATAGTCCTTACCTTTTTTTTGGCTCAGTGCATGTTCAGTATATAAAGACAAGAAATGTATTGGGTGGATAATGTGTCTGTCCACTGGCACATGGATACAGGGAAACATGGAGGTTTCAGGAAGGAAGTGGTTTGTGAATGTTTAGGTAGTGCTGTACTTCCAGTGCTAGAGCACAGTGCATAGTAGGCATACCAAGCAGTTTGAGCTTGCAAATGACAACTAAATCACTGAAACGGCATTATTGGAGATGGTATAATATTAACAATTAGTGAAAGAAAAATCATGATTTAAAAAGGAAACATAATTGTGTGTTATATTTTAGATTTGTAAAGAGGTGGTATCTGACCATTGATCCAATTTTCTTTCCATTTTGAAATTTCTTGGCATTTTCTTTATCACGCAGATTGACAGTGAGATTCCATTTGTGTTTTTTGTTTTTTGTTTTTTTTTTGACACAGGGTTTCTCTGTATTGTTTTGGAGCCCGTCCTGGAACTTGCTCTGTAGACCAGGCTGGCCTTGAACTCACAGAGATCCACTTGCCTCTGCCTCCGAGATTAAAGGGATTATTAAAGGCTTGTGCCACCAACACCCGGTCTATTTGAGTTTTGTTTGTACATTATTAATTGACTGTCTAGCCACACTTACCCATTTCTGTTACCTGACAAATTAAACCAGTTTTTCAAAACTGTGTTGAAGAAAATGTGTAATAATGACACAGAAATACTACTCATTGTTGCTTAGTGCAAAGATAAAGGAAACATTTTTGTTTTTTGTTGATCATTCCTACTAGAGGTAGCTTGAAATTGAGGGAACCTGGATTATACAATAGTAGATAATAAAGAAAAAATTTTCTAGAATAAAATGCTTTAGGAACAGGGGATTTGATATATAAAATATGATTGTTTTTAATAAAAAATACTCATGAGAAAAATATGCTCAAGGAAGATAAGAATGAGTTAGAGTAAACCCAGACTTAAGAACTGGACTCTGGTGACCCAGAGAGGAAACAGACAGACAAGGCAACAGCATTTGCCTCCAATACAGGTAGAATTTATTAAGCAGCACCTTACATTTTCCTCAGAACTGACATAGCGAATAAATGAAAGAAAGATTAATAAGGCTGGTAGCACAAGGGAGGGGTAGAATATAAAATTAGGAAAGATAAATTGATGAATTGTGTGGGAACCCATCCTAAAAAAAAAAGACAACCACATGAGTGCTTAGTTTCACACTGTATTTTTCTTGTAATAGTAAAATAAAACAAATTTATGTTTTCTTATTGAAATGTCAGCAAGAATCTGAGCTCTCTGTTGACTGATTAAGTGATCATGGAAATTAGAAGTGGAGTCTTAACTGGGAACCCAAAGGTGTAAGGTGCCATTTAATTTTATTTTTATAGTGTGTTGTATCTTTATTGTTAATGTGAACATAACATGATTTAAAAGATTTTCAAGGCTTTTTTTAGGTCTTTTTCTTTTCAATAGAGTAAATTACACAGATAAAATTGGTCTGTCTTGTTTGTTTGGGAAATTTGTTACCAGTAATTAGAGTTGATGACAAAGAAATCAATTTACCTAAGTTCTTTTTATTATCATGCATGTTATTAATGATTAATTATGGTTATATTATTAAGTATTAAGCTACATGTGGATCAAGATAATTTAATGTGTTAATTATCTTGTAGTACCACAGATGTTGGGTTGAAAAATGAATGGACTAATGATGAATTACTCTTCAAATTTTTGCACGTTAAAGTAGACGGTGGGTCTCTTGGTACCAGATCCAAAGAAGTGTTCCTAACTAGCAGCCTTCCTGAGACCTTAGAGCGTACAAGGATTTATAATCTCAGAATCTCTAAAATCAAAAGTATATTGCATAACCAATAGTGGTACCCTGTCTTCATTCAGTCTCCCTGATGTGCGGTTAAGTGAAAATCTCCGTTTCTGTATTTTAATCCTTCTGTTTCTACAAGCTCCACCTCTCTGGCTTCAGTACTGTGATGATGGATGGTTTGCTTCCAGTTTCTGTAAGTTACTGTTTGGTGAAACTTCCCAGAACACGGCAAGATTTCAGCAATAGCTTCCAGTTAGCTCCTCATCTGTTCTCCAGTGACCTGGCAATCCTGCCCTTCTCTGTGAAGTGGGCTTTGTATAGTCTCCCATTGCCTCAGCCAATTAAGACCTTAAAATTAGGCTTTGAGGAACCCTGCCCATGCTTCCAGAAACATAATAGCGCCACTTTCATGGAAGGAGATGAGAAGTGTTTAAGTTTGGCCAGTGAACAAAGCAAGGATAAAAAACAAGTGCTAAAATCATAATTAGCCCTGAATATTTTAATGCAAAAAGGGTATCAGTTTTTGGACACTATTTCACCATTATGTTAGATTTTCCTCCACGATTTATAGTTCACAGTTTCCCCCCCTTGCTTCTTATAGGAGCAATTAAGTTATAGAGTAAGACATTTGGAAAAGGGCATTACATCTTTACTTGCAAAGAAAATAGCTTTGCTGTGTTAGGTTTAGGCATGAGTCAAGACACTTCTGTTGCTGTAAGCTTGAATAAAGCACTAGAATGTAAGTTCTTTAGAGAATCTTTCTTTGATTTGGCAGTGAGCATTTTTTTAATGGGTTTTGTGCACACATGCATTTCTGTTGTCATAGAGTGAACACCCCCATCTCTATTTTAGCACTGTGACACCTCTGTGGGCTTCTCCTTCAAGGAGTCTGTCATTTCGCACTGATGAAATCCTTGGCTCACCCTGCCATGCTTGATTGACAGTACCCTTTGAAAAGGCTGAAGGAAGAAGGAACTGACCCCTCAACTCTCAGATGACAGGTGTCCCCCTCCTTGATTCTGGCTTATTTGTCCTTTCTGTATAAGAGAGGGATGACAAGATACATCATCCAGTTTCAGGAACAAAAGTCTTGAATGACAGGTTTGTTTTGTGATGTTGAGATTGCACCCATGGCCTTACACATAGCAAGTAAGAGTTCAATGAATGGGATACATCAAAGGCTCATTGAAGAAAAAATATAAAAATTACTTGCTTGTGTGTGAACATTCTGCCTCATGGATAAGAAATGCTTCTAGTAACTTATTTTTTTATTATAGTAAGAAATGCAAAATATATTATCTCTGACACACTATGTATATATGCTATGTCTTTTCTTTATGAATATTAGACTCCAAAGAGCAGAGATAGATCTCTATGGTTTCATGTTGTTTTGGAGAATTTACAAAGTGTGTGCACTGCCAGTGATCAAGACTTGCTTTCTCATAAATGCTAAATATGTGTTCTACCACATGGATCCTGCCTGCAGCATGGCAAAATGCTGTTTCCCAGTAGTGCTACTGTGATGATTTTAATAAGCTGTTCTTTGTGGCTTAAGACACTCTACATATTGGACAACATGTAGCTATATATACTTATCCCCATGCTCCAGTGGTTCTATGCTTGGAATAAAAAGAGTGTCTTCCCCAACTCCTCATACTGGGTCACCTTTGTTAATATCCAGGCATCTGTACTATACTGTCCTTGGTATTCTGACAGGATATGCTCTCAGCTGCAGCCACTAAGAGCACCACCTGTGCGTATTCACTGTGTTCCATTTTAAAAGGGCCCTGCCCACCTCCCATTTTTTCTCTCTTCGTCTGTCTCTGTCTGTCTGTCTGTCTGTCTGTCTGTCTGTCTGTGTCTCTC